TTTTACATCTTTGGCGCTGCTATAACGCTATCGACTTATCTTTTCGCTGGTCCATTTTTACTCGACTGAAGCCAGGATGGCCAGGGGCTTGAAGGGGAGGTCCCAGTTATGAGGGGTGACCTCCATATAGTGGCTTCACAACCAGTTGTAGGCGAAGTTAAAGGCGATGGCGCTGCCAAGGTACATGCATGGGTGAAAATATTGGCCAAGGCTAGGCAAAGTGAAAGGGAAAGAGAAAGGGGGTGGCCCCAATCATTTTTGTCCTATACGGACACACATTCTAGAAAATTCTAGCACATGGTGCTATATAACCTTGTGCTACTGAGAAGAAATTTCTAGCCGTTGTTCGATCGGCGGCTCAAGTGAAAAGGAAGCGCGAGGAAGATCGCAGATCAGGAACTCCGCATCAAGCGCTCCAAGCGGAAAATTTTCCAAGCAAAAAAGCTAGAGATGGGATTAATGAAATGATAATCGAGAAGTGATTTAATAAATACGATCGGACGGTGAAACCGTTACAAGCACAAGTTGGACCCTTTGAGAAAAAAAATAGTTACAAACAAGTATAACAAAGAAACTACACGGATCAAGTAAGTCAAACAGGTCTACATAATTAGTGCATCGGCATTCTTTATTTGCGCTACCGGTAGTCCATCTGGCAACGTCATCTCTTCTCTACACCTGATCGCAGCAGTATACGCGGCAGTACACTTACAAAGGCTAGCACGCTAGCCGGTGATCACAGACAGCGGAATCAGGGACGCGTATCTACAGTATTTCTCTTATCATTCCAAGTTTCAAGGGCAAATGTACGGAAAAATCTATGATGTGTGCAACATGTCCAATAGAAGCGTAAAATTACTGAGGTTATGAGCTAATGAATTTACTATCATTAAAAAAATTGAGATATAACCTACCTCACCCGGCTACAACCCCCTACTCCCCTGAGTTAGAAAACGAAGTTTCGTCGTTTTTTATTTTTTCGTTTTTGGCATTTTTCTCCGACGCCACTGAATAGATTTAGAAAAACTACATACTTTGTTGTCCTTGGCATGGTAGAAACATTACGTGAAAATTTCATCCAAATCTGATCGGTAATTTCCAAGTTATAGACCGGCACACAGACCGACAGACAGACCGACAGACAGACGACAGACAGACCGACAGACAGACCGACAGACAGACCGACAGACAGACCGACAGACAGACCGACAGACAGACCGACAGACAGGCCGACAGACAGACCGACAGACAGACCGACAGACAGACCGACAGACAGACCGACAGAGAGACCGACAGACAGACCGACAGACAGAGCGTCAGACAGACCGACAGACCGACAGACAGACCGACAGACAGACCGACAGACAGACCGACAGACAGACCGACAGACAGACCGACAGACAGACCGACAGACAGACCGACAGACAGACCGACAGACAGACCGACAGACAGACCGACAGACAGACCGACAGACAGACCGACAGATAGACCGACAGACAGACCGACAGACAGACCGACAGACAGACCGACAGGCAGACCGACAGACAGACCGACAGACAGACCGACAGACAGACCGACAGACAGACCGACAGACAGACCGACAGACAGACCGACAGACAGACCGACCGAAAGATCGACAGACGTACCGACAGACAGACCGACCGACTGACCGACTGACCGACAGACCGACAGACAGACAGATTGACCGACAGACTGACCGACAGACTGACCGACAGACTGACCGACAGACAGACAGACCGACCGACAGACAGGCAGACCGACAGACAAACAGACAGACAAACAGACCGTCAGACAGGCTGACCGACGGAAATCAGTGACATGTTTTGTCTTGATGTGTATCATATCTAATTTTCGAAATTTTTCCCGACTGCAATACTTCTAAGATGATCACAGACTGAGAAGGTACGCTAATGATACAGTTTGCCAGGCATTATAAGCTCATTCGTGCACCCAAAAAACAAAAGCTTTAGGTTGCCTCAACTTTTAGTTTGGAGATGTTTCCATTCCAATCAAAAAATACGTCAGGAACCCAATTTTTTAAAACGAGGGAGTGGAATCACTGAGAAAGGTGGCCGTGGTTCTTATCCCTGGGAAATGATCCCAAGTTCGTGAATGTATCCATATTCTGCAAATAATATGGTCCCAGGTACGTCATATCGTCACATCATTGAATGTTTCAGCACAAAGTTAATTTCGTCTCTAAAGATGAGACTGACGAACATCAGCGAGACTTCCAAGAATTATTCGGGGAGAGACTCTTTTATAAGTCTTCAGGAATACAGTTCCACGAGACGTAAAAATACCACGCCCACTCATTACTAGAATTAACCTCATTATGTATACTTACATCTCGTCCTCGATAATCTTTTCAATTTACAGTCAGTCAGATCTAAGCCTTTGTCTTGTAAACATCATATTGTTTTGTTTTTTTTACATTTCTCAAAAATGTTCAAAAAGCGATATCTATTCATCGATCTTATAACTAATGTGTTTACTATCACAGTGCTATGACTAGTATTTTGCTCTCGATTGAGACATCCTCCGTATGCCATTTTAAAGCAAACGTATGCTATCTGCAAAGCTCAATGTGAAAGATCTAAATCTTTTCAATACCATTACATCATTAAACTTATGGGTAGCATTGAAGATTATAGCAATAATAAAATACAGTTTGGTGCCAGTGAGATCTTTATCACTCACTTAATCAGCAAGATCGGCCTCTGGGTAACGCAGAAGTCGTAGAATTACTCCTATAAATAAATAAATTTTTGCAAAGGATGTACAATAAAATAGAAAAAGGTAACACCGCGTCTGTGTTTATAATCGTTAAAACTGACGGTATGCAATTGGTACTTTTTAGATAATCATCTCAACGTTGAATATGGAGTATCTACGTAGAACGTTATATTTTATTATTAAATGCGGGTAACGAAAATGATAATGTGTGTTTGTACTTAAAAGGAACCGTATAGAGGTTGCTGGTGAGTAAAGGATGTTTTGTCATTTTTCAGTCTGAAAGCTAGTTTAACAAATGTTTACAAGATACCTGTACAAAAGGCATTTGCGTTTAATCACAATACGTAGAAATGTTTGGAATTTTCATATGTTCGAGACTTTGTATCTACACATATTGATGCGAAGTTTAAAAGAATTCTATCGTTTAGTTCCCGAAGACATATCATCATTTTCTTATATAATTTCATCGATTATTCATGACTACAAGAAAAACTAAAAAAACTGTTGAAACATACATTGTGGACCTTAAGAAACGATTGAGGTACGGATGTTGTTGGAATTCACAGTTTTGCTAATTTCTATTACCTGATAAATAATACTGTTTTGACTAAAAAATACTACCAAGTATGCTTACATAAAATATGAGCATTTCCACGCGTAGTAACTGCCTTTTTATTCTAGCATTTTCTCTCCTTTCAATCGCCGCTGATGCACCTAGGATTATGTGGGGCTCGGGAGTTTAAAGTTTTATCTGATTTTGAGTATATACACCAAAAATATATATTATTGCATTGAAAACATTTATATCTACCAGATGATAGGTGCATACTAGTGTGTTTATTTTACGTTTGACGTTTAAAATGATGTCTACTAAATAGCTCAAAACGCTGACTCCTATCATCAGAACATGGACATAATTCTTGAATTCCCAAAACCTACGAACTGTGTAGTCATTCAGACCTCAATCACGTTAACATACACTTTATAGTACTTATGTGTCAACAATATTTCTAATTTTTCTCGCAATAATAAAAATTCGATGAAACACGGCTCCTCCCAGTTTCAGTGTTCATCAAAAACAATTTAGTAGGAATGTACACAAAATTGATCATTTGAAATGGGAGGGTATGCCACCTTCCACCATTCCGTCTTTGTCATATTTGTCTCGGTACTTTCAGGCCCGATTTTATTATTGACTCGCGGGAATCAAAATTTGTGCCTTTGGCACAGATTGGTCCAATGCGAACGGACTTTGAAGTAATGGATCTAATGAAATTGGTCGATTTTTGTAAAATAGGCTTCTAAGGATCATATTAAATCAAGTAGTCCTTGGCCACAAAAACCTATTATTCAATAATTTATGTCTAGACAAAAAAAATCAAACCTGATACACCAGATTGCCATGACGCCATTACTGAGCGTTTTATTGAAAATAACAGTGTCTCACTGCTGCTATAAAAAATTCTGCCTAATAAATTCTTTGATGACATAATTAAAATTACAGAACGCTTATTTAACAAAAAAAAACATCGATAATTAACTTGAGGACTGTTCGAAAAAACCTGTTCCTCAAGCCAGCCCTGTTACTGTTAACTAGAGAGATGTCGCGCACACTACTGGACAGTAGCACAACTAGCAGGGCCAGAAGTAGTTATCCTACTGTCCAGTAGAGGGCGTGAGAGCTCCCTAACAGGACTGGCTTAAGGAACAGGGTTTTTCGCACGGTAGTCAAGTACATTGAGTATTACCTCGATGTTTGTTAAAATGAGCATTCTGTATTTACCAAGCAGAATTGTGTATATCATCAGCAGTGAGACACTGTTATTTTCAATAAAATGCAAATTTAAATCAGATTTGTGACCATGCTTCGAGTATGGCGCAAATGCTTATTTTTCATTGGTGCATTGTATGATCATGGCCACTAATTTAGTGGCCGACGCAAATGAAAAAATCAGGTTTTTTAGCTGAATCATGTGATTTATGACGTATTTCTTTATTTAATATTTGAATGAGGGGCAAACCTTACATAAACCGTATAATTTTACTCAAATTTGAGTTTCATTTTGCAAGAAATCGTCCACATTTATTAGATACATTACTTCAAATATGCCTTCTCATTGAATGAATTTGTGACCCACGAGCTTTTTTGCGCCCCAGGTTAGTAATCGGGCCTTGAAGTTTTGAAGCATATTCGGTCAATCAAATGTCTCATTTTTCTTCTGAGTAGAAAATAGAAGTACACACTTACCGCTCTTGTCCATCGAATGGTAGGTTCAGGTCTTCCTGCATAGGTGGCTTTGAGTAGTACCCTATCTCCTACAAGTGCCGTTGTGTCCTGGGGACCGCGAACGACCATTGCCGGTTCTTCGGCCTCCTCCATATTGTTTTCGTCTTCGATCAACGCCAGCTCAGTTATGCAACTCACTGTACAATCGACAAAACAAAATACAACACTAAATGATAGTTATTGGCAAATGTCAGTTTAATTTGATTACCAAGCTTATATTACAATTTTAATTTCTGAAATAAGAAATCAGACTTTTTAATAAGGGATTTTCAGCAAATTTCGATTAATTCAGATAGAAACTATGCATAGATTGTTTCCCTTTATTGTTGCATGGATACATCAAATCTAAATTCATTCAATCGACTTTATTGTTAACAAATATATAGTGTACACGTACAGTAGAGTGGCGAAGTCTGGCTAATGGCCATTTCATAATTAACTTAAAATTATATTATCACTGATATTTGAATAAAGCAAAAAGAGTGAAGATACGCGTGAAATCTAAGTTGACGTGATGAACAAATATTCAGAAGTAGATACACAGATATCTGTAATCAAAAAAATCAGTTACTACGTGTGTGGATGAATTATCATGATAAATACGTTGAACATTGCATTATTATAGACATATTCTCAGACCACTGTCGCTATTTCTGAATTTGGAAAAACCTTGATGCTTCATATTCCTAACTTGCGGAATTTCATTTTCAAGTGTTTGGGATCAAATTTCTGATGCTCTTCCAACTGATAACAGGAAGATCCAAGTCTATTATAATAATAAATTCACTAAAACCCAATTTTAAAATATCTCAATACTTATGTCAGCTGCACGTGACTCTTTTACCCTATCAACATTGATTATAATTCCGTAACTGACATGGTTTGGTGAACCTTCCGTAATATATCGTATTTTTGTAACATCTGTTCCTCGGACAGCTTCAATAATATTAAATTTTTCTGCTTATATGCTTCATGAAACTCTACAATGATTTAGAATTATAGAAGAGACGAAGAAGCTTTATAGTTTTTGAAAATCCGTTTATTAGAATATGAGAAAAAGAGAGATAATCTTTGTGCTAAACTTTTGAGTATTTTTGTCATCGTTAGTCGCTCAAATCTATTTTGTGTTCAGCATAACCTGTCGGAGCGCTCTGTTGGACCTCTGCTATTGGTTTTGTATGTTAAAAGACCTCTCAGGTGAGGTTGTTCAGATACCAGGCAAAGTGGTTAGAAAGAATGGAAGAAGTAAGGAGACAAGGGGAAGAGGAAAGAGGACCTTCAAAGCCGTTGAGATGATGTTAGTAATACAGTCTTTACCGTTCTTATATTTTCATAACACGTGTATTTGTATTATATTTAGTATATTCTGGAATGAGTGAGTTTTTCGTGCTACTGGTAGTGGTACCGAAACAATCTGTTTGACTCGTCATTTCTTCCGAAAACTGTTCAGTCGCGCTTATAAATTAGTGTCATCAGAATGGGTTACAAGGTAGGTAAAGGTTCCATCTGAATCTGAAAATTCCTCCACTTTAAAAAAAAACACTGAGCAAATTGACATGTCCATCCAAAAGAAGACATTTACCCGCTTGCTTTCCGCGTGAATAATTCGGTTGTGTATCAACCAGCTTGCACTCGCGTCTGATGGCCGGCTCCGGTTGGTGCTCGGTACGACTATCCGGTGGTACCACTTTGACGCGCTGCTCGCGGTACTGCTGCTGCAGTTGCAACTCTGCGCGACGACGATCGCAGTCGGACTGACTGTCGATCTTGGTGGAACCCACAGTGGTACCGGAGATGGTTCTGGCTGTGCATCGTACCACCCCGACATTCTCACGGCGCACTTCGGTTATACGTAAGATGCTTACAATAGAGCCCGGATATATTTCTTCCTTAATCTGAAAACACAAAAATGAAATATTGAGATCTAATTACAAAATGTCCGTATTTCGTGATAAAGGGTGAAGCAAAACGTACTTTATCAAGCACCAATGTGAAACCATATCGGGTTATTATAAAAAAAAATGGCGTCTGATTTTCCTAGGCAATGCTGTCATCACTTCATAAAAGATATATAGGATCATTTCAAAGGTTCTCTATACAATTCTGAGATCACAACGTTTCGAATGACAACTTCACCTGAAGACGACTGCAGCTGAAATTAGTCCATTAGAGAATAAATTATTTCATTGCTAAGTGCGAGCTGCACGTACAATGTTGAGTAGACGATGAAATAAAAAAAAGTAGCACTTTTCTCAGCCATATACGAGGCATCAGAGCAGGCGTTGACGCGGTTGACCTCCAGTTTCCTCAATAAAAGTGATAGAAGGTTGTTGCCGTTCGATGACGCTAAGCGATGACGAGACATTCAAAAGGAAGAAAATGCAGCGGCAACTGATTTAATAATAATCATTAATCTTTTTAATTAAGCGTCTATTGAAATGGATGAAACTGCAGCCGCCAGGAATGCATTACGATTTATGATGCCTCAGGGATAGACAGACGGACAGGCGATAAGATGTTTCAGCGAATCGCAACATTTACTTTTGGGTAGCCATAAAAGCAAAGGCTAAATATTTTAAAAGCCTTCAAAAATAGTTTGGAGAAAATGTTTTGTGTTTGTAAATTCCCTCTATATATGAAAATTACATGATCTATTTGAAATTTAAATTATACAATTTTTTGGGACCAACTTTAATTCTATCCTTAAATTAAATTAACCATAGCCCGGCAAAAATTTGTAGTCAAGCTTGACTTCATACTAACTTAACCTCAAGCTAACCTTAATTCAATCTTCACTTTCACTTTACCTCAAGTCCTGGCAGCCGGAATACCAAGTATCCACAAAGCAGACCAACAATAGCTTTCTAAACATATATGCATAAATATGAACTATTGAAATGGACATGTTTGCTTTCCATCTCCGTAGCTACGTTCAACTGCAGAGAGCGCTATTTCGCACACATTAGCAACTGATCAGTGTGGAATAGGTCTGGTAATCCTGGAAACATATGAATGAAACGAAAACAAGTGTTGTTTCCAGGACTACTAGACTTACAGCGCACTGATGAGTTGCTAATGAGTACGAAACAGCACTGTCTGCGGTTGATCGTCGTTACAGAGACGTAAAGCAAACATGTCAATTTCAAATATAATTTTCCTTCTAAAAACTTTCTGACGTTCAACATCCATTCAAATTTTTGCTTCGGGAATCGATACTTTTGATTTATGTACGAGTTTTAAACTTTATGGGAATATTTGCAAAGTTGCAACATTTTTTCTGTATGAGCTAATATTTAAGTTCTACCTTCCCGCCTACTACAATATAATATACTTTATTATGTCGGGTTATTTTTACTATCAAGATCAAAGAAACATTCATTTTTTTTTCGAATATGTGTAATTCCAATGGCTGTCACCTATTGTAGAATTTCAATTTTCAATACTGTGCGTGAAGTTCCAGTGATATTTCACGGATGATTACAGTTGCTTTCTAATTTCTCGACAGTGCTCTATTTATCCATGTAGATAGAGACCCGCAGCAAAAACTCTACAGGTACGAAAAGACACGATCTATGTAGCCAATTGATCGATCCGAAAACAAGAAATTATGCAAGCAGCATCACGCCGTATTGTTAACGCCAAAAACAAGATCACGGACTTGAATTTTAGTCAGCAAGTAGTGTGTTATCATGGCGCAGTAACGGTCGCTAAATACTACTCGAAATGTTTGAATGAGTCATCGAAAATTGGAATTTAAGAATGGATATAATAATAGATATAGGTATAATAATTTAATAACAACTGCAGTAAAAGCTGAAATTTGAAAGAAGTAATTTTAAAAAACTGAACGTTTGAAATGTTTCTTTTGCTTCTTACGCCATTGGAAATAAAGCACTCTAATCATGGAAAATTTCAGAAATGAGATATTACACTCATGTCACTCATATCCGTCGGTTTGTATGTCCGCTAATCCTTGGCTCGTCTATAACCGCTGGGATTTTGATGAAATTTTCACATAAGAAGCGCCCTAGTGCTCATGTGGATTCGATGGATGACTGTTCTACCAGAGCCGTTCATTTAAGTTGATCGGAGTCCAAATCGACGAAGATTTGACGGGGCTTGAACAATCCGTCAATAGCGGCAGCTGCTAGGAAAAAGCTAAGCTATTTGTTTAGGGCAAAGAAGTACGTTTCTGCACATATCCTCCTCACTCCGTACCAGGCCCAAATAAGACCAAGCCTCGAGTACTGTTCACACATTTGGGGTGCTGGTGGCGCACCGACTACATTAACAATGGTCGAAGCTATTAAGAGAAGGGCAGTCTGACTGATCGTTGACTCTTCTTTAACGGATAGTCTCGAGACCCTTTCGCTCCGACCGACCGCCGGCAATCTAGCTATGTCAACGGTCTTTGCTCTTCAGGGCTCTCCTCCATGAAGCCGTCGCGCGATGTTTCTGCCAGGTAGACCCGCCTTACTTGGCTCTCCCATCCTAGCCGTGTCGAACTTCGTACATTGATAACTAACCGATAAGACTACTCCTTTATCCCTAAGGTATCGATATTGTGGAAGAAGCTACCTGAGGAGACTTGTCACCGTTCTCCTAAGCTTAGGCAGTTTAAAAATCGGATTGAAAGTTTCTTTAAGCTCCTCATAGTATCCGTGGCGCATTGGCGTTTAGACTTCTGCTTGCGCAGCTTCTTCAGTATAAAAACACACAAACAAATATCATCATTAAATATCTTGACCTTTATTTTTCCAAAAATGTGTTAGCAATTTTGGAATTTGTTCAGTGAGACACAAAAAAACACAATGCAAATTAATGTCATCGAATCAGACTGAATTTACATAAACGTTTATCCCAATGAAATGCACACTATCCAAAGATCCTGTCTGAAATGAATGTATCAGTAATTGGATCAAAATTAACCAATCAATTTGTATACTGGCCGCAAAGAACCCGCTATGTTTCTTATGTCGTTTGCCACATTATTAAATGACTTCTTCGAATTTATCCGGGGCTTTGGATACACATAAATTCCAATTGAAACATTGATATTAAGAGCGTAAACTAAGATTAAATTAAGTGAAGATGCTTTTACCAGGTGCTTTACAGTTATATTTATGCTTCTCATAGCGGTACGTCTTTATATTTAAGTAATAAACTTTCTTTTTAAATATACAGGTAAAAATGGTTGATGATGATGTTTTTCCCTATATTAAATACACGATTTTCGAGAATACAAGGTGCAAAGACCGTTTTTATGCCCAAGTAACCACAAGACAAAACACAAATGCCAACAAGGGATCCACTACTCATCTTGAATTGAAATCAAATCAAGTTCAAGTCAAGTATTAGATATTAGCAGTGTAAAGCAAGTCAAGTAATTTTTACATCAAGTACTTGAAAATTCCAGTAGACTTGATATTAATTGATAATTTTTGCAATATAAATACGAGTAGATTATAAATACACAACGCAAAGACTATCACAAGTTATAGAAGCAATACATATTGAACAAAATATTTTGTTCGCCTTTTAACAAATAATAGAACGATGAAACTTAAAACACAAATAGAAAAAATTTTTTTCATGAGATTATTTAAAAAAAGAAATATTCTGAATCAGCTTTTCGTTCGCTAAGCACGAGTTAAGAGACATGAAAGGTCTAACGGATTTATGGCTTCATCTGGTGTGGGGTTCCGTAATGGTCCGTGCAGCCGTAGAAAATTCGCTTTCAAAGGACGCTGATGTTGCAGGTGTCAATAAAAAATCTCTTGTCATTAAAACTAGATTTGGGAATTTCCACCACTCGTGCTTATTTCCATTGAAATACAAATTTACGGTTCACTGATTGAACAAATAAATATCACTGAAGACCTTTAGAAGAACAAAAATATAATTTGCCATCAAGAATCAAGTAGTTTGGAAATGCTTGACTTCAAGTCAAGTAGAACAATGAAAAATCGGGTCAAGTCAACTATTAACGTTTCAAGTAATTTAATAAGTAGTTTCTAAAAATATCAAGCAACTTGACTTAATGAATGCCTGATACCAACACTTGTTAAAAAACGTTAAAGGTAGATTGTTATAAGTTTTGATGTGAATCACACTAAAAAGAGTACTCTTAGATCAAGAGTAAATTGAATTGAGGCTCGCGACCTTGAAATATTTCTGAAACATATTTTATTGAACTGAGATCCATACCTCAATTTGAATGATGTGGAACACTGAAATTACCTGATTTTAAGTCCCTGTAATCTCTAATCAATGTCCCAATTTTAAGAGAATTTGTCTTCTTGAAAAAAGAGATTCCTGCTTTGTGCGACTGATATCAAGAAATTTTCATTTGAAAAAGCTTCTGTGATATATTCTAAGCACACCGGAGACAAAGAAGTCATCGTAACAGTCTTTCTTGAATGTTCAGAAGATGTAATGAACAGCAAAAACTTAAAGCTCTTGAAATATCAGAACTGGACATACCGATAGGTGCTAAATACGAATTTAAAATTTTAAGGATAATTAAAATCAACTTGTAAGGCAGAAAAATCATCATCTGATGTAGCATTCATATTTCAAAGCTGTTGAAGTTTACAGTATTTTTTGTATACAATGTTTTTCTTACCATCCTGTAAGGCCTGTGTTATCTTAGGTGTCATCCGTTTATTTTTCAGAAATCTGTACCGTATTAAAAGGTGAAATGCGCTGTTACCCAAAAATTCCGATGTCAGAGTATGTATATAAAAAGTGAAAATACCGCTGGAGTCATTAAAACGTTTACCATATAAGCTTGGAAATATTTTCTTGCAAAACAACGCGGCTTGCGTAAAATTTTAATCCCTTGACACAATCATAATCAATTTTACACGCGCGAAGTCATCGAGGATTGCAAGCAAACACC